CATCTAGCAAGCTTTCCATCTTTTGCTCTTTTTATTCCCTCAATTAAAATTTCCTAATAATTACCCTCAAGACTTAGTTCAGTTGCCACCTTTCCTATCTCACCTTCCTTCTATCACTTTCACAGAGTTAATTGCTTGTCTGTGTTCCTGTAACACTTATCTCACAAATCTCCATTACAACATTTATCACATTGTCTCATAATTTGTTTATGTCTCTGCTGCTAGATGGTGAATGATGAGAGAGCCAGCTCTTTACACATAGTAATAAGTAAAAGTTGCCAGGCTGTCTTCTAAGGGCATCAATAAGATGGCCTCATTGTCTCTTCCCAATAATTCTAGGACTGATGTTGTTAGTTGCTGTCCAGTTGATTCCAACCTGTGGGGACCTTATGTGTGCAGAGCAGAATGTCTCCAACAGGTTGTTAAGGCTGTGACCTTTTGGAAGCAGATCACTAGGGCTGTCATCTGAGGTATCTGTGGGTGGGTTCAAACTGACGGTCCTTTGGTTTGTTGTCGAACCCCTCAAGGACATCTATATGACCTTCTTTTTTACCATCCAAGGACATATGTACTGCCCCCTTTTTGTTGATGAAACAGAAAAGTTAAGTAACTTGTCCAAGATCACACATGTAGTAGCAGTGGTATTGGTTTTGTGCCACCAAGTTGGTTAAGACTCATAGAATAGGGTTCCCCAGGCTGTAAATCTTTATGGGAGTAGAAAGCCTCATCTGTCTCCTGTAAAGCAACTGGCAGAGTAGAACTGCTGACCTTTCGGTTAGCAGCCCAACTCACAATCCACTATGCTACCAGGGCTCCTTACACATGTAGTTTTTGTTGTTAAGTGCCATCGAATCACTTCTGACTCAAACAGACCCTGTATAGGGTTTCTGAAGACCAGCTGGTAGGTTTGAACTGCTGACCTTGTGGTTCAAAGTCCAGTGCTGAGCCTATAGTGCCATATCAGGAATCCACACATGGAGTAGGCACTCAATAAATGTTGAATTGAATTATGTCAAGTAAATATGCTTCCTGGTGTTGCGCTGTAAGATAAGCATTGGACTACAAGGTCAGTATGAACCACAAGGTCAGCGATTCAAGCTCATGAGCCACTTCTTGGAAACCCTAAATAAGATTGCTATGAGTTGGTACTGACTCCACGGCTCTTAACAACAACAAAGATGCTTACTAAAAATGATTTTAAAAATTCCTTTTGTCAGAGGAGAAAATGAACTTCCAGTTCAAACATTTTTTAACAAAATGGAGGAGAAATAACAAATTATTTTTATCTATTTACCTGTTTAGTAATGTTTTTCTTTCTTAAAGCTATCAATAGAAACAACTAAGTAACCACAGGGTCACTGTGAGTCTCAGTTGTTGATTTTGTTTTTAGTTCAAACTTACTTATCAATGCAGACTTTTGATTTTTTAATATTATAATGACTTTTTCCCATGGTATAAAAAATTCCTTCCTTCCTCATTTCATGATTTCAACTGCTCATAGGAGTTAGATGATATTTTGCCGTTTATTCTAAACTCCCAGTACACCAGGACATTATAATTACTCAATTTTCACATTTGTGTGAAGGCTGCTGTTTTCAAAACACAGAATGAAAAGAATTGCTTTTTGCTTCTAAGCCAAGCTTAGAAACCTATGTATTTCTGAGGCTAATATTGTTCTGTGCACCAGAGGGATCTAGGGGTTAGATGTGAATGCCAAGCTAGATGTGAGTAAGTCCAGATACCAGACCACCTGTGGCTTCTTTGAGGTGTTTCTCTACAACCACTCAAAGTGAAATTCTTTGGAGAATCTCTGAAAGACTTTTAGGCTGGTCAATTCTTTTCTGCCAAGGATTTGCATGTCTACTGCAGATATACTGAATCCGAATCTGTGTTTTTAACAAGAGGCTCTATAAGAACAGCTGGGGATCTTGTTAAAATGTAGATTCTGAGTCAGTATTTGTTGTTGTTTTGAATCATAGTGACCCTGTTTGTACAGGATTTTGAGGCGCCAATACAGGCCAGTGCTTATCCTGCAGTGCCACACCAAGACCCCTTGATTCAATATACTTGATTTAAAAAAAACTCACAATACATTCTCAGCATCAAACTAGAATGAACAGGTTCAAAGCCCCACTTTGAGCATACAGCCCCTGTATTTATAACTGCGGATCTGGTGGGAGGGAAACTGGCTTTTAACCAAAAGGGTTGAGCTGCTAATGGACATAATCCCTTGGGCAGAAGATGGCGGAAAAATTCCTTCCCAGTTAAAAAAAAACCTGGTCTTATTTATATAAATTAAAATATTTTGGCTTTAATATATTTCTAAGAGCTTGTTACATTGCAGCCTAAGGCAAAAAGAGATAATGGTTCAAAGAACCTTTCCTACATTGTTCCAATTTTCAATATGTTTTGTATTTAACTGTTTTGAATGATAGTAAAAAATAATCCAATTACAAGTGTCATCTTCATTTTAACCACTGTATAGACTGATCAGGAATTTGTGCATCAAAATTGAGCAGTTCTATCATTTTAATGTGGTGTAAAAAGTTTTTATCTGAGTGAATTCAGAAAGTTACAGGACACTATCATGCCCACAATTGAGAACAACAAAAATTTCAGCAATAAACAATGACCTTAGTAGATCCTACAATTTCCATTCAAAACATTTATAAGATCATATTAACAAACATGAAGGTAAAGTAGTTTTGCATAGAAAAATTACAAGATTTTGGAATCATAAATAAATAACCCACAATTCTGTTACCTATCCACCATGGTCAATATATTTAAGCCAGTATTTGAAATGTCACCATTTATCATCCGACTTTCTTTCTTTCAATTGTAAAATGGAATTAATGTAAGCTGCTTTTTGTCTTGATAATAATGCAGTCTGTTACATGTGGAATAAAATAGAGGATGGAACAAAGTAAATGAATCTAATGATGATTCCCCCAAAGTAGAGTTTTGGTTTTGTTTGCAACTGTTTTACAGTAATCTCATTGCAACACAACTACTTATTACATGGCTTAGCTGATATGACATATGACTACATAATTATAAATATGTTTCATTGTATTTTCAATAAAACAGTTTTGTAAGCCAAACAAGTCTTTCAGCTGATAGGGGATTAGAGTGTTTTGTTGTGCCCCTAATAAGGAGCAATAGAGATGTTGAAGGAGTGTAATGCTTCAATAAGAAAAGATATCTACTCTGTATCACAAGCCTATTACAACTTGGGAGGTCTCCTGGGAATCATCACCAAATTACTCATAGAAAGTTTAGGCTTTGATTGCAGTTCACCCAGGCATTCTCATGCTAACTTGATGGAAGGTAGGAGTAAGAAAGAAACAAAAACAAACAAACAAACAAACAAACAAACCTCCAAGTCTCTTGAAGGACTGAATCTCTCTTATGAAAGTAGACAATCAGGACACTGATTCTGGGAGGAATTCGGACATTCACGTTTTGCTGTTATTTTGTATAGAGCGGTAGCTACTTTGGAACTCAGAGTTCCAAACTATAGCATGGTGAGTCATCCAAGTTAAGTGTGGGTGAAAGATGCCTGCTGCTTTGAATAAACTGGGGGTTCCCTCTAAGTTGAAAGAGATCTGATGTACAAGAGATCCCAAGGAACACTGGGAAAAGATGGGAGATAAGGCACTGAAGGGAGAATGGAAACCAGTCAACTTGTGACCACTAACACTAAGTCCATCTTACAAATATTGACTACCATCACACTTACAGCTTATTCATTACTATTACACATTTATTTGCCTGTCTTTCCCACTAGACTAAGAAATCTCCATGAGAGATGGTCTGTCCTGCTTTTCACTGAGCATCAAGCCTAGTGCCCAACGTCTTTTCATTGAATGAATGAATAAGTAAATTAACTATTCAGTAGCATTCACAGAAAGAGAGGCAGATGGATTAGTGACCTTATCAGTACTTTAACAATGACAAATCAGCTAACGTCAATGGAAAAAGGCTGGTGTTGAAATCTAACATTCAGTTAGATCATTCAGTCAATAGGATGCCCTATCTACAAATAATTTTCCATCTGGTCACTATGGTTAGTTTTGTGTTATTTAAATGGGATCTCTGTGGGGAACTGCGCCAGTTACTCATCTTCTGCCTCAGTTAGTATCAGCATAAGAGTCCACAGTCACAGACTGCATTTCTAACTTCAGTTGGGCATCTTATATATATACCCACCTTGTATGAAAGGAACCAGATGAGACAATACAGATATATTCATGCACACATATCACCACTATTAAGGAAAACAATTTTAAGATCATTCAGTTTAGATGTGTAATTATACCAAGAGAGACACATTATTATTGATAATGAGTCTTGCTCACAGGAATGCTGGACTTCCCGGTGAGAGTATCTTTTATGAGTTGAAGATTAGTAACATTTTCAAGTGGAATTAATTACCAACTATATTGAATATTGGAATGGGTGCCAAAACAAATAATATGATCTGGTCATTAAAACACTAAGCAACTCCTTCATTTTATATGCTACTACTGGTGTGGTGCTGTAGGACAAGCACTGGGCTGCTAACCACAAAGGTGGTGGTTCAAACTCACCAGCTACTCCTTGGAAAACCCTATACAGGGTTTCTATGAGTTGGAATCAATTCCGTGGCACTTATCAACAACAAGCAACTACTGTTTCTATTGGCATTATCTTGCCATGGCTTGCCCCTTTACTTGCAAATGTCGATTTTGTTAGGGGGAGGCACATAACCAACCACTACAACCACCAGGCTTATATCAAAGCCACAATAACTAACATTATTCACTAATCACAGGGGCTGATTGATCGTGCACCAAAACTCTGGAATTCTATACTCTGCATGGATAGATATAGCCAGAAAGTCTCATTTGGCTCTTGCTCTTGACTCTTCAAACCCCTTAACTCATGCTTAATTTGTGCTTTAGCTTTGTTTGTTTGTTGTTATTTTTTTGTCTTTGCAGTAAAGGCTAGTATTGATAGAACCTGGTCTCTCAGGCCTTGAGATTATTGCTAATTTTTCTACTGCTTGCTGATGATATTTAAACTTTTAAATGAGGTCCTCCATAAGTATAGTAATTGCAATTATGTCTCTATTGTATTAACTTTAGTTAGAGCCATAATGTTATCAAAACATCTTTTGATAGCATTTTCTTTATTATAGTTCAGATAATAAAGGGACGCATATTCTAGATTCAACACACTGTTGTGCATTAATTTTTGTCTTACATCCAATCAACTTTGGTATAAAGTAAATATGAGGTCAAACAGAGGACTCACTAAAATCATGGCTTGTGCTATCCTTACAGGAGCAAAACTGAATAGTTGCATATATCATTAAAATATTTTAGTGACTTATTTTCCCTTATTTATATTTATATTGGTTTTCTCTTTAACAAAGTACTATAGCAATAAAGAGTTCTGTTCCATTACATTCCTCATCTTATTTTTCAAGTATAAAAACCAAATGAAACAACAACAAAAACCAACATAAAACAAAAGCCATAGCTACTTTTTTTTCTGGATTGTCATAATGTTAATTGAAACCATCTTCTTAAAATTATATATTTAGAATCTAAAATTTTTGCTATTCCCAAAATTGAAATGTGGTATTTATATTGAAGTTCTGAATCAATCAGCTAAGTAGGCATATATCTCTCTAAATATAACTAGTATATAAGAATAGAGGGTAATTATGATAAAGTTACCAAATAATGCTTTTGGAAATAATATAATTGATCAGTTTATCAAAAGGCTCTCTAGCATCCATACAATTCTAGTTCTAGAACACACAGCTACAAAAATCAAAAATCAAGAGACCACAAAAATAAATAATAAAGCTAGTCTTCCTAGTTTGTGTTTGTTTCCGAGTCCAAAAAAAAGCTAAATGCCAAAAATGTAAAATTTTATTCCAAGAAAAGTAACAGGCTACACGGGTAAATTTTGGCAAATGCAACTTTATATTGAAATTCACACATCTGTATCTTAAAGAATGAGACTCACAGACTCTAATGTATTTCTAAAATACCAGAAATAATGTTATAAGCTTTCACAAGTTAAAACTGAAATAATTTAAACGACCAATACACTTAATGTGCAGAAAGTATAAACAAGACTGTGCCTTCAGTAGAATGAATGCTTCATAAATTGTGCAGGATGTCATACTAAGGCTGTGGTCTCCCTCTGATAGCTGACTTAACTATAAACATTATCATCTGTCTGCTTCTTAGAACACACTAGAATGGGTAGCACACCTTGAAAGAAAATCTTATAATCCCAGTGATGTGCACCTTAATTTTTCAAACTGTGTGAAAAAAAAAAAAAAAAGGAAAACGAGTATTAAATAATCTTCCATGCACTTCCAGATGCTTGACCATGACCAATTACTGACTCAATTTCTCTTGACTATTTGCTCCAGTGCTAAATAAGATGAAAGATACTAGATAACCCTTTAAGGCAACATGTGTTTATTCTGCATTATTAGGACTGCTCAATTGTGACCAGTTGGTACCATTAATGTTGCCTCCCAGACCAATATCTAGCATTCATAAAATAGAAATGTATTGGAAAAACTTTATACCAACTCAACAAAAACCACATAATACAGTTCAATGCTAGCAATTTCACTAGTCGGTAAAGAAAGTGGTATTTAAAATAGTAATAGAGTAGTACAAAAACAAAAACAAAAAAAAGTAAACTCAAATTGGAACCAATATACTGCTTTGGAATGCTTCCCAAAATTGACAAGATGTTTTTTTGTAAGTGTGATAATCCAATAGTTCATGGCAGCTCTTTAGTGGATTACAGTACTTCAAAGTCCCCCAATATTTTAGTCTTTGCAAAACAATAATAGTATGAAATGTTTTAGTCTTCAAACTTCTAAAATTAGGTTTTTTATCAACACATTTACCTCATGTCAACTTAATTTATTAAGCTGTCCAATCCTAATTGGTTTTGATGTTTTGATCATATGTAGTGATAGACTCAGCATTTAGCACTGATACTCAGCACCTGCTACTTTGCACTATCAAGTTTTCAACCACATAAAGAAACTTAGGGCAGTGGTTCAGTCCTTTCTTAATTACAAACCTTCACCAGCAGTCAGCAGGATCACTTTGAGATTTAAAATAAGATTATAGATTGCAGGATGTTGCTCAAATCCTTGTAACTGCTGCTGATCCCATTCTTGATTTTCTTCTCAAGATATGGCTACAGGCCACAATTGCTTAGTAGAGAAGGTTAGTGTTTCACAAGGCTAAAGATGTACAGATGCTCCCTCATATAACACAGTAAGGTTCCCTTGGTAACCTGGATTTTCTGCAGTAAAGAAGGGTTGTACTGAAACAGCGCCTCAGCTCCCTGTTGGAGAAAATGCAGACAAAAGGATTGATTCCTGCTTGGGCAAAACTCATCCAGACAGCGGCTGTTAGAAATCCCCCTGGTACTACAGGCCCTCTTGCAAAAACTCTCCAATAACAGGCCACCAGGTAGGGGCCCCACAAGGTCAGGAAGAGAAAAGTCATTATATAGAACATTCTGCTGATTCTCTTTTCCATTTTGAATTCGTCTAAGACCAAAAGCCTTCTTCTGCCCGTAGTGTTTGCATTTTGCCTGATGCCCAGCAAGGTGGGTGGTGTGGGACCCCTTCCAAATCCTGCTAGCCAGTTGGCAGCTGCCTGGCCACTGGCTCCCGGGCCATGGAAAGTCCAGTTCTGGCTGACTGCTGCTACAAACTGGACTGGCTTCATTTTCCTTCTGTTGTGGACAAAAAATATCAGCTTGAGGTAGACAAGCTGTGTAGCTAGGAGGATGAGAGCAAGCAGCAGCATAAATCCTAAGGAATCATTAGCCCTGAAGGAGCGGTGTTGGAAGGTGCATTGATCTTCCTCCCTAATGAAAGAGTATGTGCCCACATCTAAAACTGGGGGGAATGCCATGGCCACAGAGAGAGTCCACACCATGCAGATCACAGCCAAACACGTCCAAAAGGTCAGCCTCTTTGTATAGAAGCGGTGGTGGGCGATAGCTAGGTATCTGGTGACGCTGATGCAGAAGAGCATGAAAGCAGTGTGGAAACAGGACAAAACCCCCAGAAAGGCAATCACTTTGCAAGTCAGAGTCCCATAAGTCCAGTTAGAGCCATTTTTGACAGAGTTGAATACAAATGGGAAGCAAATTGCAGATCTGAGGATATCTGAGCAGCAAAGATCCAACAGGAAGTAGTAAGGTGCTCTATGCAAGGTCTTATCTTTCACTAGCAAAATGGAGATCAGAAGGTTGCCCACCACACTGACTCCTATTATGAAACCCAAGGAAGTCAGTTTCAGAAAGGCTGTTAGAGGAGACAGATTTTGCAAAATGTTGTCAGCTGCATGGCTATAGTTCGCCATAGATGGATGGAGGATAAGGATACAGCCTCAGTCAAGTCTCATGATCTAGATATAAGAACAAGGAATGCATATATCCATACATTTTACTGAAAATGTAATCCACAAACAGAACTGATTTGATCTGCAGTCATGCTTCCTCTTTTCTTCCATTTGGTTTGCCATCAGAACATCTGAAGAAACAAACAAACAAAAACTGAGCTATCAGTTCTTAAGTTAACAAGCAGTGATGTCAGTGCTAACATAAAGCTGTTCATTTATGGGAAAGCAAATAAAGTTTCCATTTGGAATCAAACAATTTGCTTTGGTAAATATTTTTGCCTGAGATTTCAGAGAATTGGTGTGTTTCATTTTCTGAGCTAGGTGAAGTTAAAAAACGTCTCTATTTGGAAGACACATTTGATTGGGTAACTTTAGGGTAAAAGGAATAAAATGTTCCACAATTGCAAAATAAGCCAGTCCAGAAATTAATCACCTGTGTTGCGATGCAATCTACAAAATTGTTAATAGAGGACAGAGAAGAAATTACCTACATTCATTTGAAGTCTGTTAGTATCTGTCAACGTTTTAGAGGCACCTTCTCTGCTGATATGGATCCAATGAATCCCTGCAAAATTTATGCCTTTTAACTCCAGTACCACTATTCATTCCACATATTATAACAACAGAAGAGTATTTGTGGATTCATCTTAAAACATGATTCCAGCATTAGACTTGGAAATTGATAGGAACTTGTCCCAAGATTTGCTGTGCTTTAGTCTTTTGTCTCTCTCTTTCACCCTACCCCCTTCTTTTGGCAAATCTTTTCTCTTTTAAGCCCACATGATTATTTTGAAAAAAGGTTAATGTAAATACTGGCCAGGGAAACACACCCAGAGGAAGAAAGAATGCACTTTCATTTGTAAACCTTGGCTACCAGGAATCAAATGAATATAATGAGAACCTATATTTCTTGGGCAATGTAACCTTTTTCATTTACATTGATGGTCTTTGTTGCAAATCTCGAGTGGCTTTATATAAAAACGAAGTGCACAGTGTCTCCTGAGTGCTCAGGAGCCACACCAGGGAAATCAGCTTCCTCTGTTATTCCCACGAAGCATGTTTCCGTTGGCACTTCTCACTTGTCGGGAATATGCTCATGGAAGCCCTGGCAAAGCTGCGTTCGATGATGCTTTTAATTTCCCCACCAGTACATCCCCGGGTAAATACCGATCGCATCATGCAACATTACGAAACCTGAAATCCGCCACCCCTGGATTTATAATGGGGGGTGGGGGAGAAGGGGAGGGAGGAGAGACATGCATTACATACGCGAAGATGGGGAGAGATTGCTTCTGTGCTGCAAGGGATACCGTTGCCCGAGATTCGCAGTCGGATATTTCTCAGTCTTGCAACGCTCTCCAGCAGTGGAGCTCTTAATAAGTCCTGCTAAAGATGCATTGTCTGAGTGTACTTCCATTATGCAGTTTATTGTCAAAAAACCTCAGGGAGGGCTCTTGCCTGGTGAACCTGCAGTTTCATCGACACTGCGAATCCCCCCCCCCCTCGCTACCCCCCCGCAACTTAACCCAGAGTATATCCTCCTACCTGTTGGTTTTGGATATCCCGACAGACTATAGCTTCTTCTTTCTATAAATTGCTGATTTTTTTTTTTTTTTTTTTTCCCCTTAGTGCCTTGACTGAGCATCCAGGCAGGGCTCGGCGGCGCCTGCGCGCTGGAGCCTCCTTGAGCTCCAGCCGCGTCCTCCCCTGTCGCAACGGCACCGTCTCCCCCAGTAACGCAGGGGCCGCGCCGGCGGTGGCGAGGGCGGCGGCAGGGACAGCTCCAGGCTCGGTGGAGCCAACGGGAGCCGACCCGTTCCCAGAGTTGGCTAGATTGATGGAACGGCCTGTCTAGTTCAACTGGCAAAATTAGGTTTTTGTCCTCTCGTGGCTGCCTCTGAACTTTTCCTTTCCCGCATTCCAAGTGGGGGCTTGGAGAAGCTGATTCAGGACCTCAGGCCCATCCTCTTCCCTCAGGGTAGCGCACGCAGAAGCCACGGTGCCGGCGTCGTCCGCCCCCTCCCCTGCTTCCCGGAATCCTCGTTTTCCCCCAGCGTGTTTTTCCTTTCTCTTTTAGAGTAGTCCAGAGCATTGACAGCTTCTTTTAGGTATCTTCTTTAATGATTTCCCCAGCTGAACTTTGACTATGCAGGTTACCTGGAACAAAAGAAAAGAAAAAGCAGAGTTAAGAGAAAGTCTCAATGGAGAGGGAAGCAGATTAGGACCACCCTGTTTTTGTTAGTCATCTCTTCTCAATGGATGCAAATAGACATTTATAGGGAGACACGGAAGTTCAGAGCACAACCAACCGCACAATGATTTACATCGCCTCTATATGAACGAAAATGAATCAGGAGCACAAATATTTTAAATGACTTGACTATTCCTCGCCTTTCACACCACTGAACAACAGGCTTTCTGTACAAGTACGACTGACCCATAGATGGGTAATGTCAACACAAGTGTTGCTGTGTGAGTTTCCTTTTTCCCTCCTTTGTTACTACGGATGAAGAATACTAAGGACTATAACGAATACATAAAACTTACACCCGTCCAAAAGGTCCGATGAGATCACCAACATCACATAGCCTGACACCTGGGAGTTTAGGGATGCCTGAAGGATCATGCATTTCCTTTTTTCACCATTTCCGAAGAGTTTAGTTTGTGGGGGTGGTAATACTATTTAAAAAGACAACTCCTTTCTTTCCCCAAACCCCGCCAAGAAAAACACTCCAAGTAGACATGCATTCATGAATTCCCAATGTAAAGAGTCAGCTTTTCTTCCTGCATGCTTATTGTTTTATAATAATCTTTTAATGAAACACACACAAAAATAAAGATCTTCTCTACAGTAATAATTTGATCTCGAGGCAGCAGTAAAATACCTCATGGCTGGGTGGTGAGATTGTGACATTCGGGAGAACTCAAACCAATCAGCATGCAGATAATATGGGTTAATTTACATATAGTATTCCTATTGGACACACGGAGGTAAAGCTTTCTCTGTTTAAAGCTTAAAAATGAATACTTCACTGTCATGATGTCACAGTCATTATACAAAGCTTTATGTTATATTGGTAATACTGAAATGATGTTACACTTACCCAATTTGTTTTTGAATTTTCTAAATTTATTAAAAAATAGAGAATGATTTATTTAAGAAAGGAATATGCATAAGGAATTTAATTTTGGCATTCCTTTAGCCTAAAAATAAAATCAATACTTCAGGAATACTGGAAGTAACTTGATGTCATTTCCATTTAAGAAGAAAATTCAAACTTTTTGTAAAGAAAATGAATTTAAAAGAACTCAAGATTGTGATGCTGACATCTTCTATGTGAAATGCCAAATTTATTTTTATGGAACTAAAAATCAATTCGATTTGTCCATTTTTTAAATTCCCAATTAGTGTCTCAATGTATTTTGCATAGTTAGTATTTCCTGAATTTTAAAATTAAGACATCTATAGAAAAAGAGCTTAAATAAGATTGTTGGAGATTCATGATTGGCTAGATCTCATATAGACTGCTGTTGTTGTTAAGTACCTAAGTACCAGTACCGTGGAGTCGGTTCCCACTCATAGCGACCCTGCACAAGGTTTCCGAGGCTGTAAATCTTTACCGGAGCAGAAAGCCTCATCTTTCTCCAGCGGAATGGCTGGTAGCTTCAAACTGCTGACCTTGAGGTTAGTAGACCGATTCGTAACCACTACGCTACCAGAGCGCCTTCATATAGATTAGTGAAAAGCTATTTAGAAGTAAATTAAAAGGGTGACTGAATTGCCAGGCCGTGATGCCATAATTTACTCTGCCAAAAGGTATAGGGCCAATATTCAAAGGTTTAACTAGCCTTATGCTTTAAGAAGCAGACGTTGATTCTTAAGAAATAAGGGGTGAAGAGTATGTGTGTATGCACTATTGTTTCATGTCTACATTTAAGAATATATTAAAAACCCACTGCTAACGAGTCGGTGCTGACTCCTAGCAACCCTGTAGAGGATTTCTGAAGCTGTAAATGTTTACGGGAGCAGAAATCCTCATCTTTCTCATGAGAAGCAGCTGGTGGATTTGAACTGCCAACCTTGCAGTTAGCAGTCCAATGGTTATCCTACAACCAATAGGGCTCCTTTTCAGAATACGTCAGAGCTATTTATTTATTTTTTTCCCTGTTGCATCTGAGTGCAGTTACTTACCAGTTCTTCAGTTTTTCCAGCTGTTAGATGAGAATGTCATTTTCTTGCCTCACAAGGGGGCTCAAGAAATTAATGAGATGTTTTCCATTTAGTTTATTAACACAACTGGAGAAAACATAGGAGTTGGCATCTTTCCATCAACAGAGATTTTAAAAGATATTTCTGATAGCTAACACAAGTTTCATATTATTTACTAGTTCTCATATATTAAATGATTGCATCAAATTTTCAGATCCTAATCTTCTAAGATCTTAACTAACTTCTTTGAGTCTGGGTCACAAAAGAGAGAGAAAAAAATATGGAATAAAAATGAAAGGATAAAGCAAAAAATACCAATAAAGTACCATACACCTAAATCCCCGAGTTTGAAATACTCAAAAAGTTTTGCAAGCTTTCTGGCGTATTACATTCGCTGTCCTGATCAGTATATTAGGAGGACTGATGCAATTTACTTAACTTAGTTTTTATAAAAACATATATATGTATATACATAATTTTATTTTAAATAAACAATTGCCTTCTTTTAAAATGAATCTGACATTTCAGTTTTCATAAGTGATTCACAGATTCATGTTAGGCAATGCATTTGTTCAATACATTGTTTATGTGAAAATGGGAGTCTGGAAATAAACACTCCATGATCAATTCAGAGAATGATAACATTCTAAGAAAAGACTTTTAACTGTTCTTTACATTTTTCATATTTATCAATAAAGCTTGCCATTAAAACTACAAAACGATGCCTATGGGGTTCTCAACTGTTAACAAAATCTAAAGCTATATATGAGAAAGTGTCTTTTATACATTTTTGGAAATAATCTTGGTAAGAAAATCTCATTAGGGGTTGTGGCATAGAGTGACATTCTAAGAAATTATTCAAAAAAAAGTAACTAACTTGGAACAAATGCTGTCATTGATAGGTGATATCAAGTTGATTCTGACTCATAACCACCCTGTGTAGAGTTTCTAAGAAACAACTGGTGGGCTTGAATCTCGGACCTTGCTGTTAGCAGTCCAGTGCTTATCCTATATAGAAGCACACTAGAACGTCAAATGAATGACAGAAAGGAAGATTTTATTTCTACATTTTGATAATGGTTTTCAACAGTCAAGAAATCAAATGACACATTGCATTAGGCGCATATGCTGCACAAGACCTTTTTAAAGTGTTCAAGAACAAAGACATCAGTTTGAGGACTAAGGTATGCCTGACCCAAGCCATGGTATTTTCAATAACCTTCCGACTCCATGGCACATAACCACCACCACCACCACCACACGCATGTGTGACTTGAGCCGTGAATAAGTAAGACTAGAAGACTTGATGCATTTGAGTTATAGTATTGGAGAAGAATATTGAAGTACCATAGACTGCTAGAAGAACAAACAAATCTGTCATGGAAGAAGTAGAGCGAGTGCTCCTCAGAATCCAGGATGATAAGACTTTATCTTTCATACTTTGAACCTGTTACCAGGAGTCCCTGGAGAAGACATCATGCTTGGTAAAGTGGAGGGTCAGTGAAAAAAAGGAAGACCTCCAATGAGACGGATTGACATAATGGCATCAGCAACAGGTTAAAGTGTAACAATTGTAAGGATGGCGTAGGATCAGGCAGTGTTTCGTTCTGTTTTACACTGGGTCGCTATGAGTCAAAATGGATTCAATGGCACCTAACAACAAGTGTACAATAAAGGAGAGCTCTGATAATGTAGAGGCTTATGGTGTTGGGCTACTAACTGCAAGGTTAGCAGTTTGAGCCCATCAGCTCTATAAGAGAAAGATGATGCTTTTTGCTCCCATAAAGATTACAGTCTCAGAAATCCTATATAGGGCCACGATGAGTCGGAACTGACTTGAGGGCATGTGACAGCAGCAGTAACAGTCTACAAAAAATGACTCAGTGAGATCTGAGTAACTGAAGTGTTTAGGGCATTATATTTAATTTACTTGAAGACTAGAACCAAGAAAGAGCACACCAGCTTTAAAAAATTGTATCAGGAGTTTGGAATAGCCATAATTGTGAACATTTTAGATGGTAAGATCTCTTTATAATTTTATTGAATTTTAAAAAGATTAAGAAGCTGGTATCTTCCTTTGCAAATGAAGAAAATTTACTTTATCAGATTGATCTCTCTACTCTGCCACATGTTTCCAAAGCGTTAATATAACTTATTATTTTTTTAATGTTTTATTGTGAATTATGGGATAGTTTACACGGGAGAACATTAGTTTTACATTCATCCTATTGTATATCATTTCATTGCCATGGTTACAGTCCCCTCCATGCATCATCAACCAACCAAAGGGTATACACTACAAGCCTACCCCCGGTCATCAGCACACAGCCCCTCTCCCTCTCTGTGTCTAAAGTCCCCAACAGCTCCATCTCTCCATGTCATCATCTCTGCCTCCATCTCAGGCATCACTGCTTTTCTGGGTAGGGTCCCGCTTTCCACTCTTCTCCCTTGATGGTCCCAGGGACCTCTGCTCCTAGGCTGAAAAGTTAATCACTCCCCTCCTTGCTACAAAATGTCTACCTTAACAATTCTAACCCTCACAAGCAGTCCTGATAACAATTATTCACTATTGTATCACAAGAGACCCATCCGCATTTCATTTCATCAGCCCTGCCTAGACGGATTGTATACTACTCAGTGGAGATTCTACCTTCCTCCATGCCCTCTGAATCTAGGTCCCCTCTTGAAAGCTTGTAAGCCA